CTACCCAATCCAACAGCCATCTGATTGAATCGCCAGTGATCCTCCGTACGATGATGCCTGAGCTCATAAGCTCCACAGGCTCAGGCCCAGCTAGTTCTCGGATGGGAGGACCCCTGGGGATCCCCAGGCACGGCTGGGAAAGGCACCTGTCCGGGACCCTGGGCGAGGCACGGCTGCCAGTCCGAGTTGGCAATCCTGGGGACGGTGCCTGGCAGGAGGGAAACGGCGGACATGGAAAGGCCGACAGGACTTCTCCTCTGCTTTGAAGTCGGAGACTTTGCAGTCAGCAAGAGGGAGGGCACAGAACACGAAAAACACGAAACACCAGAACCGCTTTGAGGTGCTCCTTTTAAAAAGCAACCCTGCATCATTCCTGATGCAAAAGCTCCTTGGTCTTGTTCCCACTTGTTCGGTTGCTTTTGGGATGTAAAGCCTCTTTTTAAAAAAAAATTTAAAAAAACTATTTTATTTTTAAAGAAACAAGGGGAGGGAGAAGTGCAATGCGCTACCCTTAATGACATAACTTGTCACGTAATCCTCCCAACCTCTAGGCGACCGCACATTGCACACCCAGAGCGTGTTTGTGCCAGGTTTGGGTCCGGCCGCCACTTCCCATGCGCCTGCTGCTCTTGCCTCATATCTGCGCCTCCGGCCCTCTGGAGCCTCCGACCCTGTTTGGAAAGCAGACGTGCAAGGAGGTGGTTCCTCCTCCCCGGCCAGGGGACTGCCAGGCGTAGTAGGAGCACCAGTCTGGCTGGATGGAGGCCACTTCCTCTCTCCGGTGCCTCCTTCCTTCCTTCCCTCCCCACCCACCTTGGCAACTTCCAACCTTGGGCTCAGCCGCCTCGGGGCATCTGTCAGGCCGATGACAGGCAGGCAGAGCTGGGGCCACCCTTTCCCAGGCCTTGACGCTGAAGGCCATCCTTGGGCAAGCCGGAGGAGGGGGGGGAGCGTTCAAAGCTTTGTCTTGTGAAGGCCTCCCTGTGTCTCCCAGAGCGGAGCGTCCAACCCAGGCGGGCAGGCAGCTGGCACAAAGGGACTCCTGGGCCCTGCTGGCCTTCTGACCTCACGGTCTTCCCCAGCGAGGAACCTCTGCAAGGAAAGGAGTGCAGGGAAGGGAGCCCCTCAGCCTGACCTTCCTCGCAGGGTGGCTTGGAAAATCCAGTAGGGAGGAAGGAGAGCCCCATTGGTGTGAAACTGAACAGTGAAGTGGTGACTAAGTCATTCTAGCAGGAAGAGATTCCTGCTGGATTCATATCTCCAGGACACGGGGGAAGCTGGGCCTTGGAGCAAGTTGCCCCACCCTGTTCTTCTCGAAATTGCCCCTTTCTAAAACCCTATTCATCCACTGAATGTTTCCTTCCTGCTTCTTTCCCATCCTATTCTATTTGCATGTGCCCATCAAGGCATGGGGGGGGGGCTCCTGAACGGTAGCCAAACTTCTTTGGCCAAGCCTGTGTGTTTCGCTGATGCCCAAAGGCTTGCGAGAACCTGAGAAGAGCTGCGGTGGATGAGAGTGAAAGCCCATGAATCAGCCGGTCGCCTAGGGCAAGTTGGCCAGCGAGAGAGAGAGAGAGGACCGCCACAGCGCTGTCATCGTACGTCTCGCCCGCCCTGGCCACTGGCATACAGGCGTTCCGTGCCTCGGATCCTGGAGGCGATTAGAGCTACCCCGACTTACAGCCACCGAGGGCCCATGGGTGGCTCTGTGCCTCTCTCCAGCCTCCTTGGGAAGCCCTCCGGGCTGGCAGCCACCCCTGCACGTCGTAGAAAGAAGACCTGTCTTTTCCCTGTCCTGGAGCATTTGCCCTCGCTAAATTTGTTTCAGTGAAAAAGCCCATTGGGCTCTACTAGTATAAGAGAGAGAGAGAGAAAGAAAACTCCTTCTCCTTGACTTTCTTCATATTGCATATAACTCTCGCTGTATGCAGGCCACAGAAGCTGCTGCTCTTGAACACGCATCCTCTGGGTCCACCAGGAGAGTTTTGCTATTTCCATAAAAATGCTATCCTATTTTCCTTTCTCCTGCTGTGCCCCAAGTTCTGTTGCCTTCCTGTCGCCCTCCGTGATAAGTTATGGCTTCTTCTCTCCTGTCCCACAGATGGGAGATCTGTGCCAGACAGAAACGGGCCGTTGTGCCAGATGTGCACCCTGGGTCTCCCCCCCCCCGGGGCCGGTGGTACACACCCTATAGGGAACCCTCAGGATTTGTTCGGTGACCCAATCCTTTTGGCACTTGGGAGGTTGTGTTCTTGCTCCCAAGGAAGAAGCAGCGATTTCATCCTCTAACGCCAAGCCAAGATTTGGAGAGGGCCCCAGGGCTGTCCTGCCGTTTGGTCGGTTAGACGCGAAGTGGCCGGGGGACCCAAAGAGAGGAGAAGCGGGCAGGACAGGGTGTTACCCCCTGCTTCCGGAGCCTCCTTGCTGTAAAGTCACAATGGCCAAAGTATCGCCTCCCTCGCCCGCAGATGCTTTATG